TTGTCAGCTATATCAGAACCCCCGAGAAAAGCTCCTGGGTAACACTTTGGCTGCTCTACAGGAGGAAAGCCCTCAGATAAAGGTGGTCAGGTTACTCTTGGACTGTGACCCTTATGTTACACATAGAACAGCGCTGTTCGCAAAGGCGGCCAGAAATATTCGAGCTAATTTTCTGAAAGCCATTGCAATCAATTGTGTGGGAGATTCCCAGATATGAAGGGTCTCTTATTATTTTACATGTGTTTGATTTTATCATGATTTTACTCGACCATTTTTGTATTTTAAACAATTGCGACGGCTTTTATCATGTGTTTATCTGACCATTTCTGTATTCAATAATTGTGATGGCTTTTAGCTAATACAATAAACTTGATCTAGTAAATACATGTCTGAAGGATGCCCTGCCTTTCTTCTTGACTTGAGATTCCCTCCAGGCTTTGTGTTTACAAAGGGAAGGGCTCTTTCCTTTTACAGGAGACTTTGACAGAACTCCATTACCATTTGTGTTTCTGGAGTGGCTGTTAGAAGTCAATTTTTACCAGACTTGTCCTTAGGTTTTCAGAGAAACTTAAGTTTACTCCTTCACAATCACATCCAAATCTTTTATAACAATATATTGCCTTCTCCCAAGGAAGACAATGGTGTGAAGTTGATCGATCCTTTGGGTGAAATGTTGGCACCTGCCTGGGAAGAGCATGCTACTTGTTTAGCCAATGCAGAAGAGAAGGAGTTGCTACCTATCCTGAATGCCATCTGCCAGAAGGAAGCAGTGGACCTTCAGAATGATGCATTCATTGTTATTGGCAGAGACACCAGGTGAGCAATAAGCCTGGCATGTGCCTTGGGGGAGAAAAGGCCATAGGTCAGTTGCTTGTCCCTTTTAGCATCTGTAACTTATATATTTCTGTCAGCTCTGTGCGACACTAGCAGTGGCAAATCTTCACTGATTAAAGGCCTCTTTTGGTAAATTTTGGGGTGCGTGCAATTTCATTGCATTGTGTACAAGTTGCTTTCATTCCAAAATTGTCAAAGTAAGCCTTTTAATCAGAGGCAGCTTGATTCGCATGGTGCATGTGGAGCTGTGCAACAGGATTTCAGCCAGTGACTCATGAGGTTGAAGGAAGGCTCAAAAGTAGTCATGTCCAGCCTCTTGTTAGAACAAGAAATCCCCTGTTGTTGCACCCAAAATCATTCATCCCAGGTCATTCAGTCTCTGCTTCAAAACCTCTAAGAAGGAGAGATCATTAGATTCCGAGGTCGCCTGCTCCATTGCTGAATGCCATTAGGATGTTCTTCCTAATATTTAGTCTAAATCCCTTCTTCTTGCCATATATTTAAGATCTGGTTAAGAAGCCTTTCATTCATATAATTTATGGGTGGCCACCTCAGATGTGTCTAGTATCCAGTTACCCCTTGTGTTTTCTAACTCTTTGGCTGCTATTATTCATCCTTTCTAAGGCAGTAGATTTCAGCTGACTTGCAGGCTAAGGATTGTCAGTATTCATATGCCAGTAATTCTCTGGGGGAAACTTTTTTGTTTGCATGGCATTTTATCAAAAGTAATCTTATTTCTTTGCTTTGTATCTAGGCCTAGCAGCAAGAAACTTTCACAGTCAGTAACTGATGGCGTGTCTGTCCTTGGAGGTCAATACCAGGGTATGCCTTTTACTCTCCTGATGGCTAGCTTACCCAAAAATGGGTGAATTGCAACTCAGTTGGGGCTGGGCGGGCAGTTGAAGCTCAATAACAAAGTACTTGCTTTGCATGCAGAAGGTGCTAAATTCAATCCCCATCTTCTCCAGATAGAGCTGGGATAGGACCCTGTCTAGAAAACTTCCACTGATTATTTCTCCTATAGCTGAGTATATGGCAGTTTAATACTCTGAAATATACTTCTGAAGTTGAATAGCATTAATACCTGACGATTACGATTCTCTCTTAAAAAAAAAAAACACCCTAGACTATGGCTTGGTAACAACACCACAGCTACACTACATGGTCTGCTGTCGAAACACCCATGGTGGCTATGGAACTGCGACAGTGGAAGGCTACTATCAAAAACTCTCCAAGGCTTTTGTGGAGCTTACAAAGCAGGTGAAAGAACTGTTTTTCTTAAACAAAGCCTTTGCTTATGTTCTTTAATGTACTTACCTAAAGGGTCTTAGGGATGTGCTTCTCCACATTGGAAACTCCCATTAAGAAGAGCACCTACTAGTTACTAGTTCTCTAACCTTGTAAAGTTACAGCACTGTGACCAAGCCACAGCATTGTTTTTGTTGCTGGACCTTGCCTGCTTTTAGGATACTCCTAGCGGTGAGCTTTCTGTCACATAGGTGTTAAATGCAACTTGGTTTTGATCTGGCCAGATGTGGTGCTTTGCTGATTATTCATTGTTGGAAGCTCTCCTGGTTTTATAAAGAGAACTAGTTTTGGAAGCCTTGTGGAAATCAGTGAATTTTGGCTTCAAATTAAACACAGTTGGGATCCAGCTTTTAGAATGGCAGCCATTGTGTGCTAGGTTCACAAAGTTGAAGATACAGAATGTTTCCTTCAGTGTAAGGAATTGAGACAGCAATAATAATATAATCTTCCCCTTGGCATGCACACAAGCAGCTGTCCTAAAACTGGCAGAAAATGGAAATCACAAGTATGCCATTGAATGCTTTGTGTTCCCCCCTTTTTGTGTTAGAAAGGCAAGGAAGGCGTTTAAATAAAAACAACAACAACAACAACAACAAAACCCAAAAATGTTGCAATAAAATAGCATAAGGTTATTTATTTGTTACTGTAGTCAGGATTCTGTTGAAAAAAAATTGTGCACAGAATAATAATTGTGCAAGTGATTACTCCCTTTGACAGGGTGCCTGTCACCCAGCTGGTTGCAGAATGGATCCTAGGACTATTTGCATGATGGACACCTTGCTAAAATGAGAAAGCACATCTACAGTATGATCACTATTATGCCTCAGTATGTCTGACAGCATCTTAAAAAGCAGAGACATCACCTTGCCAACAAAAGTCCGAATAGGCAAAGCTATGGTTTTTCCTGTCGTGATGTATGGAAGTGAGAGCTGGACCATAAAGAAAGCAGACTGCCGAAGAATTGATGCCTTTGAATTGTGGTGCTGGAGGAGGCTCTTGAGAGTCCCCTGGACTGCAAGGAGATCAAACCTAGCAATTCTAAAGGAAATCAAGGCTGAGTGCTCACTGGAAGGACAGATCCTGAAACTGAGACTCCAATACTTTGGCCATCTCATGAGAAGAGAAGACTCCTTGGAAAAGACCTTGATGTTAGGAAAGTGTGACGGCAAGAGGAGAAGGGGACGACCGAGGATGAGATGGCTGGACAGTGTCTGCGAAGCAACCAACATGAATTTGACAGAACTCCGGGAGGCAGTGGAAGATAGGAGGGCCTGCCATGCTCTGGTCCATGGGGTCACGAAGAGTCAGACACGACTAAACGACAACGACGTGTCTTTTTCCAGGATACTTGCATGCCTAGTTAGAATATTTATATCACCCCTTTGTGCTTGAGGACAGCCTCCCAAGGCCCATAGACACAAGTGAATTTAGAACAGCAGATGGCTTTTAAAAGGCAGTGGTAACTTATGAAACCTTTAGGTGGGCATGGAGGAATAGTGGTGAAAACTATGTGTGCTATTGAGGAATATATGGGTGTTGGGTTGCTTTAATCATATTGCAATATGTAACTTTCAGTTTTCCTTTTTTTAAAAAATCCTGTTTGAGTCTTTTCTCCCCTTTTTAATTTTCTTTGCTCCTCTTTTTTTGGGGGGGGGTTTAGTTCTTAGGCTTTGTGTTTCATATGACGAGGTGATGGTTTTTCAGAAACAAGCCTTTACTTTGCTTCCTGGCAGGCCACAAGTCAGAGGGATGGCCACATATGTCTGAAGATAGACTGTGCAAATGGCATTGGGGCTCTGAAGCTCAAAGAAATGGAACGGTACCTTCTGGCAGGCCTTGCTGTGCGCCTAGAGAATGATGGAACGAAAGGGAAGCTCAATCACAATTGTGGGGCTGATTTTGTGAAAGTCCATCAGAAGCCTCCAGCAGGTATGCAGTTAGAAGCGCACATCTTTCTAAACCTTTGCTATTTTAAAAGAGGCGTCTTTCTTAAAACAAATAGGTCCTGTCACAATCCCCATGTGGCCACTGTTGGTTTCACCTAACTAAGAGCTCACGCTACATGCCCCTCAGCTGTCACCAGTTGGTTTCATCAACAATACCTATTATTAATAATCGAGGTCCAGGGCAAGTGGTGCATATAAACCTGGTGACTTGTCTGTTAATCAGTTGGACATGCTGAGGTTGCACAACTGGCTGTGTGCCCGGTATGTGACAGACAAAATATGAATCCCACCTGCGTGATTGTCTTTCCACATGCAGTATTTCAAAAGAGGGCAATTTTATGTTTTTAGGACTTCAGTTGCCTATGTAGTTGGTTTTAGTAGTATAGCATAGTAGTATAAATTGGTGTAGCATTTAGTTTAGCATAAAGTGCTACACAACACTTCTGTTTTGTTTAAATATTCTTTTAAATGTCCCTTCCCAATTTTGCATGTTGGTACTGTTTCTAACTATATAACATCTGTGTTCAAGCTTCAAACGCCAATGCTTTTACTGTTGAACAAATTGTGTTTTGCCTGCCTGTTTGTTAGGCCTGGAAATGAAGCCCAATGAGCGATGCTGCTCGTTTGATGGCGACGCTGACCGAATAGTTTACTACTATACTGATGCTACTGGCCAGTTTCATCTTCTCGATGGAGATAAAATAGCAACTCTAATCAGCACTTTCCTTAAAGAGCTTCTGGACAAGGTAATGGAATCCCTTTGGTGATGAGGGCATATCTTTTGTTTTGCTGTATGGCTAAAAGAGTCAGTCTTGCCTGGTTTACTGTGAGCTCACACCATGCACACATACTGGATATTCGTGCTGTAGAGAAGGAGTGATACAAATGGAAGGCTGTTGTGAGGTGAATTTATACAGAAACCTCTTGTGCAAACTTAGCATAGAAGCCATGAAGGCAGTTGGAAGAGGTGGAAAGTGTGCCATGCAGTTTGGGGCAGTATGGTACAGTGGTGCTTCCACTTACGACCATAATCCATTCCAGAAGATGGATGTAAGTCAAAATGGTCATATGTCGAAGCACCATTTCCCATAGGAAGGCATTGAAACCCCATTAATCCATTCTGGCCAAAGAAAAATTTCTTGCAAACAAAAAATTACTGCAAGACTAATTGGAAACGTGATTAATCCATTCTGGCCGAAGGGGTGGGGGAAGAGAAGCGATCAAGCGTGCAAGACCCATTGCAAATGCATGGAAGAGAAGCAATCAAGTGTGCAAGACCGATTGCAAATGCATGGAAAACAAACGGAGCAGATTGGAAATGCACAGAGAACAGAGGGACAAGGTCGGAAATGCACAGAAAACAAAGGAAAAAGCAAGGGAAGCATGCAGGACCCATCAGAAATGGGGGGGGGGGAACCCAAAAAGCAACCAAACCCCCGAAGACCCACTGGAAATGGGGGAGGGAAGAGCCCAACAAACAAACCCCCAAGACCCATCACCGGAAATGTGTGTGTGGGAGAACCCAACAAACAAACAAACCCATCACAGCACAGAAACATAACCCCCCAGCCTAAAACCACACTGCAAAAACATAACAGTTTTTAAAAAGCAGGAGACAGCACCTTACCTCCCTGCAAACGTACACACACGCTCACTCCAAAGCAGAAGCCAGGCAGTCCCAAGCCACCTTTGATCACACTCACTCTAACCATGAGGGCGAAAGAGCTACAAAGAAGCAGCCTCTTTCGCCACCTACAGTTAACAATTTGAATTTCCCACCTTTTTTCCCTGCCTTTTTCTGTTCGTAAGTGGAAGCTCTGGTAACAAGTAAAAGCAAAATTTTGCGGCTGGAGCCAGTCATAAGTCGAATTGGTCGTAAGTAGGGACGTTCATAAGTGGAGGCACCACTGTTTATCTAACCTGGAACATTTTCTTTTACTGGTTTGGTGTTTTTATTCTGAACGGGGGCCTAAAAGATGACTCTGTATAATCAAACAACTTGAGCACTGTAGTCTTTTTAAAAGAGACTGTCCTGCTTGCCTCATTTAACAGTAGCAGGTCATCCTGAAAAGGTTTAAAAGATGCCATCATGAAAAAGGCTCTTCAGATGGCCATTTTTGTCTCCCTCTCCCAGGGACCTTAGCAACAATTGGAAAAATGTCATTTTCATTTAAAACAAGGTATTTGCTCCCTTTGCACCTTATTTACAAGTAGAATGTTGCTCCTGGAAGCATCCTGTGCCAGCAAGGTCCCTTGCAGTAGGGATAGTCATCACTCTTAAAGTCATTAAAGAGCCATTTGAAAATGGCAATTGCCCTTCGGTAAGTTAGCCAACTAGAAACGACTTCAAGCTTTGTGAAGTGCTTGAGGTGTCAGCTGTAGACCATGAGAACCTGAAATTGATGTCAATAGTTTTGTTCTTGTTTCATGAATACAATTCTTTGTTTTATTTTCAGTTCTATGTAAGGTGTGAAAGCTCAAGTGAAGAATACTTTCTATCTGTGTGTGAAATGTTGGAGTGATCAAAATCCTGGAGCTTAGCATAGTAAATTGCACTAGAGTAGGCCCAAAGAATCAGTGGAGATTTGTGAGCCAGTTCCAGTGTAGGTTCCCTTGATTTAAAATGGGCTTACGCTACCTGGATCTTACTTTTACGTAGCAAGTCACAATTTGAGTAAGGAATCAGTGGAAGAGTTGACTCACCGAATCCCCATTGATTCAGTGGACCTACTGTAGTATGATTTACTATTCTAAGTAACAAGATTTTGGCCAGTGTCTTTGTGAACTTGAAAATATGAGCATCAAAACCAGAGCTTTTTATTTCGTACAGGTTTTTTTTTCATAGCATTTGTCAGATTCTGAAAACCATTTCCCTCTGTTTCTTCAGGCTGGCCAAACCTTAACATTTGCAGTAATACAAACAGCCTATGCCAATGGGAGCTCTACGTCTTATTTGAAAGAAACAATGAAGGTAACTTAATTGTCACGTGCTACCATCTTGCTTGCTTTCATGTCTTGAATTTAATGGAAAGCAACCCAAGCTTTACCATAAGAACTGCTACAGATGGGGCACAGTGGGGAGGGAAGCTTGTCCACAGCAAAAGTAAATTGTTGGGAACCAAGAATTGTGTTCAGTGGCCCAGCTAGAGTGGGGAGAAGCTGGTATTTAGACTGTATGGATATTAGAGTTGTTAAAGGACTAACCTTGTGTACTTCTGGTCTAATGGGTATTCTTATGGGCTGCTGTGCTGAAACCACATGGGTTGGGCTGCGTTGTCCAGCTCAGGTTGGTTTCTGAATGGTGTGCTACGGATCTTACGGTACTCAGGCTACCCTCTCTTTCTGTCCTAGGTGCCCGTCCACTGTGCCAAAACAGGGGTGAAGCATTTGCATCACAAGGCCCAGGAATTTGACATTGGGGTTTATTTTGAAGCCAATGGTCATGGCACAGTAGGTATTTGTTTTTCAATGCTTCCTAACTACACTTCATCAGATTCTGGATAGGTGTACAGTGGGGTCTTGACTTGAGAACTTAATCCGTATTGGAAGGCGGTTCTCAAGTCAAAAAGTCTGTAAGTCAAGCCGTCTGTAAGTCAAGGGTCCACTGTATAACGGTGTGAGTAAATACATACATACAATGCTTGGGCTTGTTCTCTGTCTCCTTTTTGCTGAGCACTTCCTTCCCAAAGTCACAGTCCTAGAGTAAAGCAAACGGAGCAAAATTTGTTTTGGCCTGCATCCTGCACTACAGTCTTGCTTCCCTGAGACATAGTCCTACTCACTTCCTCATTGCAGCCTGCTACCCTATGCTCACGCTGGTTCTGGATGGTTTGCAGCTGTCCAGGCCTATATATATTTTCTTTGAAGATAAACGATGCACTAAAGGTAGGAGGCAAAATCCCCCCCCCAGTCCAGGTACCTCTGACCAACTTGTGGCATCCTGTCCTTTGTACGTTACCTTTTCTGTGCCCAAGACACATGGTGACAGTTTTTGCTGATCCTTTCTGTTCTTGTTTCTTGAACTTCTGTGACAAGGCAGAAAACCTCCTTCCATGTATTCAGGTTCATCCTGCGCCACCTCAGAAGCATTCATTCAGTTATTCTGCAATAACATTTGTTGGCCTCTAATTTTATTTGCTAATTTACAGGATTATAGATCAGATGCAAAATGAGCTCTACAGATTAAAGGATTATTCTGTAACTGGGGATAAGTGAGTGTGGGGCCAGTGGTTTTTGCTTCCCGGGTGGGGTGGGATGACATTCAAAATTCCACAAAATGTATCTTCTCGGCCATTTAGCCAAGGCCAAAGGTAACATTCTGTTAAAAAACAATGCCCATGAAAAGTTCTGAGCTAACATTGAGTAGACATGGTCTAGAGGGGCGGGGTAAAAATCAAATAAATAAATAAATAAAATAAATTGACCCCCAGGAACATCAGCCCTACCACCACAGAAGGCAGTGAGGGATGGTGGAAATGGTGGTTCATCTGTTCCAAATCCCTGCACTAGAGGAAGATTAGGCCCTTATATATGAACTCCCCAGAGATATGTGACCACCAGCTGGTAGGGAAGGAAAACATGATTCTGATCTTGGGAGAGGAAGGGCCCTTTGCTTCTCATGGAGTGTGGATGAAATTTAGTATGTCTTCTTGTGTGTTTTCCCACACACAATTTGATGTCATGACGATCTGTTGCCCTGTTTTGGCCTTAAAAAAGTAAACGTTGGACTGAGTTTTATGTTTTTGGAGAGCTCTCTTGTCTCAAACTTCAGTGATACGTCTTGGAGGGAGGGAGGGACCCATCTCTGAAGCATCTCCATTTTGAATAAGAGAGGCAATAATAATGCTGGCCATGTTGTGCTTCTTTCGATGAGCATGTGTGCTTTTTCTTCCAGGTATTGTTTAGTAAAGCAGCAGAGGATAAAATAAGACACCAGGCAAAAGAAGAAAAAGACAACCTAAAAAGGGAAGCTGCAAAAATGCTTGAAAACACAATTGACTTGATAAATCAGGTAGGAGTGTCAATATAAAACTTAAGTTTACATTTAAATATGCTCAAAGACATTACAGAGTCTCTGTGTTGAGTGGAACACAGTACACAGAGCTGGAGGGCTGTGTCCAGATTGTGTCATGTTGAGGAGAACCAACAAGGACATTTTGCCCCTGTCAGGCTCCCTCAATAGGTCATCTAGCAAGGCAATCGATGCTGTTTCTGTACCATGATGCAGCTTGAAGCCCGACTGAAATGGATCCAGGACATTGGTTTCATCCAAAAGGGCCTGAAGCTGATCGGCCACCACCCTCTCTACTACCTTGCTACATCTCAGCTCGATCTACTGTTTTCAAATAGGGGGTTAGGTCCCAGCAGACGGCCTCCCCTTTAGATTTAAAGAATGCTGCAAATGGGTTGGATGAGATGCTAAGGGGAGGCCAATCATTATGACCAATTCCAGATAGATTGTGTACTATATGGAAGATTTCCACCTGCAAATTGGAAGCTTCGCTTATCCGGACAACGAAGTAAGCTTTCCTGACAGCCTTCACTTTGGCAAGGTAAAGGTTAGACGCGATCCTAGCCGCATTCAGGTTATTTTCCATTGGGTACCACCTGCAAATGCTCTCCAACCTTCTCGTTCCGCTTCATAGCAGCTGATGGTTGAACCAAGGCACTGGTCGAGCTCTACACCGGAGTGGGCATTTAGGAGCAATCGTGTCCACAGCCATGGTGGCGGTGGTGAACCAGCCATCAACCAGAGACTCAACAGTAGCGCCAGCCAGATCAGTTGGAGTCCCTTGCATGGAATCCTGGAATCCTATAGTGCCAGCCAGATCAATTGGAGTCCCTTTCATGGAATCCTGGAATCCTATAGGATCCAGTAGCCTACAAGGGCAGACCATTAAAATAGGTCCCTGCTCCCTGCGGGGAGGGAGGGACACTGTGAGGCTGCCTTTTATTAGGTTTTGGTCCAACCATGACAAGGGGACTGACGCAAGGTTAGTTACCATTGGGCCACACTCACTCAGCTCAGTGGAGAACACCAAGTCTAGAATGTGACTGCGCATGTGGGTGGGACCATTAACATGTTGGGACACACTCAGCTCAGTGTAGAACACCAAGTCTAGCATGTGACTGCGCACGTGGGTGGGGCCGTTAACATGTTGGGACACGTCCAAGGAAGCCATTGTTTCCAAGAACTCAAGAGCCAGTCCGGAAATCTCCGCCTCCACATGGATGTTGAAATCACCCAAGTCCAATAGCCTCGGGGATCCCAACAGAGCCATGGAGACAAAGTCCACCAGCTCCAGTAAGGAAATGGCTGGATTGCGGAGAGCATGGTATACCATCAAGATCCCAATACCATCCCTGGCCCCAATTGATACGTGAAGGGCCTGCAGACCCGGCGTCACCACAGCAGAGAGCCTAACAACCCCCGGCGTTGCCAAAGCAGAGAGCCTAACAACCTCTAGAGTACCATCCCTGCCCCCTCCACGCACACGCACGCACGCGCACACACACACACACACACACACACACACCCACACCCCTCTCCAATCCTAACAAGCTCAAGAGTATTTCTATAAACAATGGCCACATACACATCTTGCCCCTCCAGTCTACCCCGGTGTTGTACAGCATAACCGAGAGGACAGGCAAGAGACAGAGGAACGCTCCCATCACTGCTCATCCAAGTTTCAGTTATGCAGGCCAGATTTGCATCCTCCTCCAGAATAATATCTTGGATGAGCTGGGACTTATTTGATACAGATCTGGCATTCAACAACACCAGGTTCAGAGTGGAGGGGCAACTGAGCCGGCTACCTCTAACCTGACAGGTTGTCACAGAGCCAGAACAGTGGACAGCCTTCAAACATCTGTCCATCATTCTTCTGGAATGAGCGGCAACTGTACCAATGCCGTATCTCCCTCTGCCTGTAATCACCTGAATATTTAGATGTCCCCCACTGGGGGTGCCAGCCTTCCACTCCAGTCCAAAAGAAAAAGAAAACAGGAAGAAGAAACAAACTGAATAACTAAGCAATATTACAAATAAACAATACAATATAAAAATAATCAAAATTAATCAAAAACAAAAAAACAATAAGCAATAAAACAAATTAATATAACAGGAGAAAAAGAAGATAAAATTAAAAAAATAGAACAATAAAATAAAAAGAGGCTTATAACATCTTTTGGAATCAACAAGAAATGGAGAGCCATCCTGTGATTCACCAAATTAAGACAATTTTAGGGTTGACTGAATTCCTTCTGTTGCCAAAACCTGAGAGGCTGAGGAGTTATTACTCTTATTCCATATATATTGTGGTTGGTGATGTTGAGGAGGAATCCTGCACATGCTTAAGAGTGTTGTCATATATCAACAAGTCCTGGTGTTACAGTAGACTCAGCCCTGCATGTTGGTTGACTCTATGTGTAGGAAGTGGGAGTGCAGTGTGTTCTGTCAGGGTAAAGTGCTTTGGGCTCAGTCTTAAAAAGGTTTGCATCCAGTGACTTTCTATTCCTGCTCAAGCCCACTCACCCACCCGCCCAGCACAGTTCTGCTTGGGGCTCTCTCCTCTTCCAGAGCCACGTGCATAGATCTGGCAGTGGAAGTGAGCCTAGGCTGCGAACTGAAACCCAGCCTCTTGGAAGTGGGTTCTGGGAGGAATAGCTGCCAGACACAAACCAAGCAACTGTTGTGACAGAGTTTACATCATCTGAATGGCTACTCCTGACTGACTCAGCTTTCTGTTATGCAGAAAATTTGGATTACAATGAACTGACGGGTGTCCTTATTTTTGACACAAACTGTGACTCTGGCTAAAGTTGAAAACAGCTGGAGTCTCCAACTTAATGCTATAGTTAATTAACAGTGGAAGCAAAAGCTTCTAGACTCCTTGTACTCATGGTGGAGGAGGAGGAGGAGGGGCACCATCCCTGAAGCTCACAATGTTTCATTTTCATCCAATAAACCAGAGAGTATTGTGGCATGTGAACTGGCTTACGGGCTGCCTGTGCAAAATTAAAACCCTGGCTGAAGGGTCAGTGATTGAACCTTTTGAACCATGAACTGTTAACCTGGCTCATTTTGGCAGTCTTAATTATCCACCTGTTATTGAACTTGCCTCTGTGGCACTGCCTCTCCTCCCTCTTTCTGTCCTTCCTAGACAGTTGGCGATGCCATCTCAGACATGCTTGTGATTGAAGCCATCTTAGCTTTGAAGAACCTTACGGTACCCCAGTGGGATTCGATGTACACGGATCTTCCAAACCGGCAACTTAAAGTTAAGGTTAGTGAGAAAGCAGGCAAAAGTGGCTGCAGCGTCTCTTCCTTTCTACAAATGGGAGCTGTGCTAATTTAAATTAAAAACAAAACGTGGTTCAGGCAGGGCCTGAAATGCACTAGCTTGTGCCAGTTAGAGTAGAGATTTTGAATCAAAGTAACGTGCCCAAGTGGTGCCTTAGCTAAATACTCACTGATTCAGTGGGTCTGCTCTAATTGGGATGACTTTTTAGATTTGGGCCAAGCATACATGTCTTCCCTCCTTGCTTGTTATGCAACAATTGAGATGCTAGGAGGTGTGCATTCTCTGTTGCCAGGATGTGGTCAGAATACATATTGGATTGAGGCACCTCATGTCTTGTGCTCTCTTGCTCCACAGCCAAGGTTTCTCCCTTTCCCCACCCTCTGGACATGACCTATGGCCACATCCATATAAATATGGGCATACTGTCCAAAATAAGAGCAATACCCAGAAACAAAAAAATGTGCAGGGATAACACTATCCTAACAGAGGTCATGGCTTGGAATAACTCCCACTTAGTGGCTGATTGAAAATGTATAGTATTGCCTGTCAAGGAAAATTACAGGCCTGAGCAGAATGGAGTGTATTAATGAGAATCCATAATGACCAGGTGTGTTAAAACTGAGTCAGGATGACTCAGCAGTGCTGATGCACCTCAGGGATGATGCAACTTGGGGATGATGCAATGTGTGATCTGATTGGTCCTGTATATGTATATATGTGTGAATTGTACAGTCAGTTGTAACTTCTTCCTGCTTGAAGATCACTTCTACACATTATGCTGCCAGAATGCTATAAATACTGCTGTAAATACACGTTGCTGAAGAAAACTGGACTGCAAATCCTGGACTCCAGTTATTTCTGGACTGCCTGGACTGCAAATCACTCTGCTAAAACCGCGATTTGCGTTAAGAAATGCCGACATTGCCCTTGTTACATGTCTTAACAGCATGTTCCTTGCTGGTCAGGGATAAAGATAGGGCTTGTATCTTTATCTTTCTGCTCAACATCTTTGCAAAAACAGCAGCAGGAAGAGATAAGGTATATATTTTTAGGAGACAGAGTTAGAGTTTTGACAGGACAGATTGTATGGTTCCTTTTTATTGGCCTTTGTAGGTTGCTGATAGGCGAGTCATCAACACCACAGATGCTGAAAGGCGAGCAGTGACACCCCCAGGGCTGCAGGAGAAAATTGATGAGCTTACCAAGCAGTTTAGATTGGCTCGTGCTTTTGTTCGCCCATCTGGAACCGAAGATGTTGTTCGAGTGTATGCAGAAGCAGACACACAGGTCAGAACTGGATTTGGAGAGCCATGTGATTGCATTTGGAGTCCATATAGTGGACTCACTGCCAGCTTTTAAGGCTGATTTATCATCCTGCTACATGGTTACTCAATTCTGAGAGGCAAGGATGTGGCAAGCACTAGCTTGCTCACAGACCAACCATGTGAAGAATGGCTGTGCTCCCATCCTATACCCCTTGTCAATTGGCTTTCCTTCTCAAACCCCTTGTTTTGGGGAGGGAGACCATGAGATAACCCTCTCTGTGCAGAATTCTCTCTTTGGGCTTTCTGAGGAATTTGGGGCTTAGAAAGATGGCTGGAGTTAAAAGAAGAGGTGTGCGTGAGGGACTTTGCCCAGCTTGGGAACAGTTTTGGCTGAGCACCAAAAGGGGGCGGGGAATGAGAAGAGTGAGGGGCTGAGGAAGAGAGCATTTGCTATTTTGACATCTAAGCTGGAAATATGAACATCTCCTGGAGGCTGCTAATATATTAAGATTGTGGCAGGCATGTGGTGGTGGTGGTAGGGTTAACCCTTTCCTCCCTGCTGCAGTCCTGAAAATCAGTTCATTTGAAACTTCTGTTTGCCTGGGGAGGAAATCCTTCTTAGGTGGAAATATTTAGATCTGCTCTCTTGCGGCTGGAAAATGTAAACTATATACAGCTCCTTAAAAAATTAAGTAGCACATACTTTGAAATACCCACTGCAGCATGTGTCACCCTGTGACATCCTTGTAAGTTTCATACTTTATTTCAGCCACCATGATTAAATGTTGCCTATTTCAATCAATGCTTTTATCTCCAGAAAAATGCAGATAAACTTGCCCACCAAGTCAGCTTGGCTGTCCACCAGTTAGCTGGAGGAGTTGGAGAATAACCCAAGGCCGTAGCCTGAAGACGCCATATGATTCAAGCCGAACCATAGACCATCCCCTCGTTGCCTTTTTTTATTGATTCTTCACTTTTAGCTTGTTGAAACTTTTAGACAAAACTTAAATCAACTTTGAATTATTAAAAAAGCTTATTTGAAGGTTACTGCTTTCTGTAATTTGTAGAATTGTATGGAGTCACTTTTGTATTAAAATGTTAGTATATTTCAGATTAAAGTGTGTGAGACCTAATTATCGTAGCTTTAAAGAGGTTAATACAGTGTGGTGGAAAACCAGTCTTCCCACCAAAGAAAGAAGAGGCTATTAATCCCCTTTTTCTTGTTTCCATAACAGACATGATATGTTGTAATGGTATTTCACAGAGCCTTGCTTTTTTTCTTGCATTATGGCCAACAGAGGTGGTGTGAATAGTGGAGCTGTTACGGCAAATGTTAAACTTTCAACTTGTTTATTAACTCCTGTCAGATTTCTAGTCAGAACCATACTGTTTTAAGAGCAGCTCCAGATGTCACAGCATTTAAGAATAAGGGGGAAATGTTTTCTTATAAACCTTGAACGATACATACGTGTGAAAGCTAGTGTCATGCACATAAGATGTGCACTTCATCAGTTATCAATTCTTACTGAGGCATCTGCTTGAAAACAGGCACATGGAAAAAGTTCATGGAAAAAGTTCATCCTGCTTAGCCACTGTATTTAAAAAATGGTTCCCTGCAAAACACAGCTTAGGCATCCAGACAGAAAAACAGACACAACTAGAAAAAATGCGCAATGTGTATTGCAGTTTTTTTTTAAAGAGACAGACATCCAAGATGACAAAAACCAAAAATGTACCATAAATATTAGGCACCATAGTCAATATGAGCCAGTGATATTTAAACTTGATTCAGGCCACATCCAGAACTTATTTACAGGTATTTAAATTAAATACATACTGAAGTATACATTACATACAAAGTATGAAAAAGGAAACTATACAGTCTGGAGGGATGGAGTGGTTTCATTTGAAGTCAACAGGATGTAAGGTAAACATCTTGCCATTTATGCCTCATGTCTTTATGACCCCTTCCAGAAAGTCTTTTTCTACCATCTCTTCAATTTTTTGCCTTGCTTTTGTGGCAAATGTTTTTTGGTTCTCCATTTTCATGTCCTTGTTGGGGAAGGAGTTTGGGTAAAGCATGGGGCTTCCTGAATGGCCAAGGCTCCTGCTGGTGACTTTGCTGTTAAAGACCTGGCTCAAGACGTTGAAGAAAGGCAGAAGCTGCTCAATAGTGCGGACGGCGCAGATGGTCAAGAGCAAGTGGCCAGGTTCCCAGTTTAAGGTTTTCCCTGAGCTGTCTTCCTCTGGGTTTTTCTGTAAGTTACAACAACAGTGAGAGCGTGTTATGCTATACCATGCCAGCAGAGATCATCAATATGCAACAGAACAGTTTCTAAAGCAGCCTTCAGAATTGCAGCCACTAGCACCTGTGAAACACAATGAGACAATATGCAGTTAAACTTTATTTTGCACCACAGTGTGGTGGTATCTTTGTTTTTAGTTGTCAGTATATTTGATCACTTCCTGAATGCCGTTTGTCCGATGGAAATTGTCAGAGCTGAAATCCATTCTTCTGGAGAACACTGTGTTTCTGGCAAACTACAGTGGGCTCTCGACTTACGAACGGCCCTAGTTGCGAACGTTTTGGGTTACGAACCTGATCTCATAGCAAGTAGCAGACCCTACTTGCGAACGCAGATTGCATTACGAACCCAAAAGGCAGGGAGAAAGGGCGGCAACTTCAAATTTCCTGCCCTTCCTCCCTGCCTTTGGAGCTTTCAAAAGGCTTCCTCCGACATTGGAGGAAGCCCTTTGAAACCTCTGAAGCCAAAAAGGAGGCAGCCCTGGCAGCACTGGGTGAAAGGAGGGAGCCGATTTCTCCCCAGCCGCCCGGCTTGCTTTTCCAGACAGATGGATTAAGTGGTTTTCAATGCATTCCTATGGGAAATGCTGGCTCGATTTACGAACTTTCCGATTTACGATCTGACTTCCGGAATGGATTAAGTTCGGAAATCGAGGGTTGACTGTATATACAGTGGTGCCTCGGAAGACGATTTTAATTATATGGTGCCTCGCAAGACGATTTTAATTCATTCTGCAAAAATTGTCTTGTGAAAAACTTGTCTGGGAACCTCGCAAGACAAATGAAATTTTGTGAAAAACTCGTCTGGGAACCTCGCAAGACAAATGAAATTCATTTGTCTTCCAAAGCATCGGTCTCGGGGGGGGGGGCATCTTCCGAAGCATCGGTCTCGGGGTGGGGGGGGGAAGTCTTATGAAGCATGGTCATAGAAAAAAACATCTTGTGAAGCACCATAGGGATTGCGAAAACCAATCATCTTGTGGGTTTTTCGTCTTGCAAGGCACCACTGTAGCTTGTTTTGTGATGAGGACTTCCATTAGGGAGGAGAAAAGAATGGTATAAAAATGAGGTGTTGCAATCCTACCATCAAAGCACCTGAACTTCTGTGTCCATGCCCTTTCCATCTGGACAGTTCTGGTTGCATAACCTTGAACGAAACCTTATCCTGCTGATCCAGCAGGGAAACATGCATACAAAGAGATCATTAAGAGTTTATTTTCCAGAGCCAAAAACATTGAAAAATTGGGAAAGTCACTACATTAACAGATTCAGGTCTTGACAGCTGGATCCAACCCTTCCACCCACTCCACAAAAATGGTTGGCACAAATATTTATTTAACCAAGCCAAAAGTTGCAGATTTGATGGAAGCAGCACATTTCGCTAACTAAGCATTTGATAGAATTTCTACTAGAAATATAGTAGAGGTTATACGTGGTAAATTACAAAGTGTGGAAAGAGGTAGAATAATTTGATATACCTTTGCTTTTTTCCGTAGCAGTTTTGCTAATCGCACCACATACGGTTTGAATTCCCTCTGGTGCGTGCCTTGTCTCCGCACTTCTAACCCCGAATCATCTGAAGCTTCTGGAATGAAGGCCCACCGATACCTAGGAAAGAACAGCAGGGCAAGCTTACCACCCCAAAAGAACACTTAGTCTGAGATTAGCAGATGGAAGCTCCCAGAATGCTGGGACTTGGAATTATTATTTTTTAAAACCCAGCCAAGTGGCATATCCCTAGCTATCACGATTATGGAAGCATCACCTAGATAAAGTAGATTGATTTTCTCAATCTTTGGCCATTTCCTGATGTGCTCTTGCCAAATTTGAGCCAACAACAGATGACATGAAACATCTCTCTTGTGAGGGGCAGGGGCTCTCCAGGCAATATTTTTTTGTGTTGCAACAACAACAAAAGGCCACATAAAGAACACTCATCTCAAACTCAACCAAGACATGTTCCCTAAGCATCACTTTTGGCAGGATTATTTTCTCACAATGTTGGATTTCAGCTGGACCACATTTACTTACATCTGGAACTGAGGAAGATGTTCAGAGGGTAGCGCCAAGGCTAAATCCAGAAATTTACAAGCTGACAAATAAAAATTTAACCATCTCTGGCTGTTGTAGGATGTGGAGAATCCATTGCCTCCTGTATATGTGGTTTCCAGGCCAGCAACAGATGGACCTGACGTCCTAAAATTGAAATGCAATGAATTCACGGGTTATTCTTTGCAGGTCACGTATAACTTAGATAAGCTAGAAACCCATTAGCTTTAAGTTGATATTATATTTTTAAGACCATTAAAATAAACAAGTAGATTTAGGAAGTGCTGATTTGTTACTCTATATTACTGAATATGTGCAATTTCTCCAGGTAATTTAGTTTCCAAAGTATTCCCAGGTTTGTATAGCTCTGTGGCAAACTGACCAAAACTCTGATAGAAAAAAGAGATTCCAAGACATCCCAAAAGGCCCACAGCTGCCTTTGGGACGTTGGTGGTTTAACAGGCAGGGCATCCAGGGCTTACCAAGGCCGTGGCCCTGGAGCCTGCTAGCCGTATTGCTTTTTGCCAACTGCTGCCTGTTCATTGGTACCCTCTGATCAACTGAGCTTCTCCCCTAGCCCTCTTTCTTGAGAAGGTGGTGTAGACTGAGCCCAGAGGAAGACCCAGCAACTGGACAGCAGCAACAGTGGTGAAACTGGAAGAGGGAGGCACCCTGAGGTCAGGCGACCAGGGAGGCCCTTGAACTCTGAGACCAGGACTGTGGAACAAGTTAACATATAGAGACACAAAAGTGGAACAGTTGCGGAGGTGTAGCCCACACTCGCATACTGTATATGTTTTAAGACAAGCGCCTATTCAACCTTATGGAGCACATGCAGAAAAAGTGGCAGCATACCAAAACCTAAACCCAAACATTGCATTTGTCTGCCAGTATATATATAGGGAAGCAGTAAACATAAACTGAGTGGTAGGTGTGGCTGACACAAGCCACTGATCAATGTTCTCAATCTCTGACTCCTACTGAGGCTCCTAGGAGTCTGATTGGAAAGTTCTGTCACTGTAAAGATCCTGGCAAGCAGAAAACATTTTTTTCTTCATGGACATCATCACCTGCACAACAGCATCACCCTATTGGCCAGACTTGCAACACCTTCTAGAACTGACACCAAAGAAAGATGTTCTTCTCATTATAGGGGATTGGAAGGCTAAAGTAGGGAGTCAAGAAATAAAAGGAACAACAGGTACGTTTGGCCTTGGAGTTCAAAATGAAGCAGGGCAAAGGCTAATAGAGTTTTGTCAAGAGAACAAGCTGGTCATCACAAACACTCTTTTCCAACAACACAAGAGGCGATTCTACACATGGACACCATCAAATGGGCAATACCGAAAGCAGATTATGTTATCTGCAGCCAAAAATGGAGAAGCTCTATACAGTCAGCAAAAACAAGACCTGGAGCTGATTGTGGTTCTGATCATCAGTTTCTTATAGCAAAACTCAAGCTTAAACTGAAGACAGTAGGAAAACCCACTGGGGAAATCAGGTATAATCTAAACCAAATCCCTTATGAATACACAGTGGAAGTGAAGAACAGATTTAAGGAACTATTTTTAATTTATTTTATTTATTTATTTGATTTATATCCCGCCTATCTGGTCTTGCGACCACTCTAGAACTAGATTTGGTGGACAGAGTGCCTGAAGAACTATGGATGGAGGCCCATA